CAGATCACCTTCTACGAGGACCGCGGCTTCCAGGGCCGCCACTACGAGTGCAGCGGCGACCATGCCAACCTGCAGCCCTGCTTCAGCCGCTGCGCCTCCATCCGCGCGGACAGCGGCTGCTGGATGCTCTACGAGCACCCCAACTACCAGGGCCACCAGTGCTTCCTGCGGCGCGGCGACTACCCCGACCCCCAGCAGTGGCTGGGCCTCAGCGACTCGGTGGGCTCCTGCCGTCTCATCCCGCAGGTGAGCCCCCCGGCGCCCCCCAGGCCCCTGGGCGCCTCCAGCCGCACCCGCGCGCGCCGCAGGACCAGAGCTGCTTTTCTTTGGCTCCAGTTGTTCTGGTTTTCCTTTATTAATATATTTTCAGGTTCCTTCCACTGAAAGAAGAATGCGATGGGATGCTTTTAATTAGACATTTTCTTTTACTTTGTGAAAATGAAACTCACTTTTATTGGGAAAACGAGCGCATGATATTGTTCAGTGTCCAGGCCGCAGGCCATGACTACCCAACCCCTCACTCTCGGGTGGCCTTAGGATAGTGACTGGAACTGTTTCTCGTTTTCCTCGTCGGTAAAATGGAGCTCCTAAGAGTAGTTAATTCCTAGAGTTGTAATTACGATGAAAGGAACTTACCTGACACATGACAAGCCACTCATCCCCCAAATATAAGCTATTATTATGAATATCAAGGGTCCCCCAAGTCCTGCCTTCTAATTAGACAAAACAGGTAACCAACAGTGTGATTTCAACAGCTCTTGCAAAGCCCACTCTTACCCAAATAACACCCCAGCAGCCTGGAAATCCACCGTTAAGGATTGTCTAGTTTGACTATAACAGAGTCTTGGGGAAAAGCTCTTGAGAGACTGGCATTAGGAGCCTGAAAATCTGGGCTTCCCCTTTCCAGTCCTGGCTCTTCTAATTACAGACTGCAAGCTCTGTCCTTGGTGTCTCATAAAAAGGAAAAAGCTGATAATGGCGCTCCACATGTGTCGGGCTGTCCTGAAGATCAAATTAGGAAATGTACGTGTGAGCCCTTTACAGGCCTTGGAAGGTACATTATCAGCAGTCTTTTACACCGCAGAATGAATCGCTTATGAGAGCCTTCGGTAGTAAAGAGGATTTCGTGGTGGAAGAAGGGTGACCTTGAAGGGGTACCTGCTGGGAAGGAACGAGCCGATAAAAGAACAAGTGCTCAGGGAAAGACAGCTGGGATTTGCCCAGCACTAGCAGGCTTACCTCTCCATTTTTCTAAAGGTTTTATAATCTATTGGTCTGTAAAGGCCTCTTTCATGATCTTTAGCTTCCATTTTTATTAACTACCTAAAACTGTTTTGCCGGAGCATATATTAGAGCTGAGAACAGAAACCAAATCTTTATGATGGCGCCTGCTTTTCAAAATTTTAGAGTAACAGGACTTAAAGCAGAAAGGAAGGTGTTGAGGAATTGCCTCTGCTTGATTGCCACCAGTCTGTGGGGAAAGCAGTTTTGGGAAAGCAATTTGGCTCTCTCCCTAGCCTCTTCTAATGCTGTCAAGAGTCAAAATAATGCCTTTTGGCAGTGCAGTGACTTATTTGTCTTTCTACTTTAATATCTTATTATTTTATATCAGCCAGTATGGAGAGCCCCAGAACACTGTAAGCCTATGAAGGAGAGAGCAAAACGAATATATAACATTGTTACTTAAAAAAGGTATTAAATAGAGATAGCACGTATGGCTCATATAGGTTGTGACCCAAAAAACTCTAGGGAGCACCATTCATATCATGGTCTACATGAATAGTGACTTGAGTTTTACAGTGTACAACTTATCCAACTGTATATAGCAGCCCTGGTGTTGCAAGTCTCTTTCTTTAATTTATCACCTCTGGTTCAGAAAAGATAAAGAAATGTCCATCGCCCAGGGCTGTGTGTGATGGTTGCTAAAGGCTAGGTTCCCTGACTTTTCCTTGTCTGCTGATTGCTGAATCCACAGACCAGCTCCTACAGGATCAGACTGTACGAGAGGGAAGATTACAGAGGCCA